CCGCAGACTGTTCTGTGACATTTCCTATTAGAAAGAGCTGCTTGGAATAACGGCGCTGCTAGGCGCTCCCTGCCCGCCTCCCTTTGCAGCAGGGGCCGCCTGCACCCCGGCGGGAGGGGTAGGCTCGGCTCGGCTAGCGCGCTCAGAGCCGCAGCGTGCCTCAGGCAGGGTCCCGCTATAAAAGGCCCGAGTGAGGCCCGAGCTAGAAGGCCACTAGGGGACGAAGCGGGGCGTCCGGTTGCCAGGCAGCGGCACTAGCGGAGCAGCGGCCGCCTCTCGCACCGCCCGGTTCGGCCCGGCCTGGCGGCCCCGCACTCACCCGTAGGGTTGGTGGCGCCGGCGCCCCCGGTCGCCCCGAAGTTGAAGGCCATGAGGCGGCGGCGGCAGCACTGGAGTAGGGCAGTCGCCGCAGACAGCAGCCGGAAACGCCGAGTTCGGGGAACACTTCCGGCCAAGCGCCCGCCCCGGAACCAATCCCAGGCGCCTCGAGCAAGAAAGTGGGCGGAAACGAGCGCGGAGTTGTGACTGCATCGCAACGCGCCGGGGAGGCAGAAACACCCCTCGGCGCATGCGCCGGCGTGTGGGAGCGGCCGTCCCGCGCCAGGGAAGAGGCACATGGTTTTGTGCCGTGGGCTCCTCTCGTGGAAGCAGCGGTTCTGGAGGGTGAGCGGTAGTAGCTGGGGTTTCTCCCCGCGGCCGGGCCCGGCTGCTTTTCAGGGGTACTCCCGCCCTCCTACTTATGGTCATACTTGATGCCAGGAAGGCTACGGAATAGCGGGTACAGGAGATACCCGGTTCGGTGCTCTCTCTGTATAGCATCCACTACCACCGTAGGCGGACACGGGCTGCCTCTGTCCCATTTCAAACCAGCAAGCCTCGCACCGGCTCATTAACTGTGGTAACCGCTATGCTACAGGAAGCCCCGATAATTACAGACCTCAGGGTTTAAGCAGGATTTGAAACCAGGCTCTTTTTCAACAGAAACTAAACCTTAAGGCCAGCAAGGATACTGGACCAGAGTACTCATTAGTCAGTCTGACACAGGATGGCACTTCTTGTGAGACTTTGGCCCATGCCTCTAGGCACCCAGTCATGGACACCTTTGAAAACACAGTCTAGTTTCTGGCATTTCTCCCTAGGTCAAGATGTCCATCTCTCCATACAGCACTTCCTTAATCTTCCCCTAAGGAATGGAAGTGAGAAATTCCTAGTAAATGTACAAATATTTTAAGTCATAGCACCTCCTGGGTGACTGCTCCATGACTGACCGTTGCAATCTGCTGGAGGTAGCCAGTGTCTCATCCCTGAATTCCACTCTTATGGAAGCAACTTTACCTTCCTTGATGAGCACCAGCCCAAGTCTGCTCCTGTCAAAGCAGGGGGGAGATTCTGCTGTTGACTCTCAAATAAGAGTAGACACAGAGCACATAGCAGAAGTGCTGTACATTTCTGACAGCCTCAAGTGGTTCCTAAATACATACAAGGTTTTTACACCGATATCTTGACTTTCAATACTACTGAATATCTGCTACTCCCATTGATGCCAATGGCATCCCTTGTGAAAATGAGGCTACTTAAGTGCATAAGAAGAGCACACGCCAACTGCAGATGCTTGCTCCACCTGACAAAGGGTATTTAAACCCAAAAGCTTGCTAAGAAGAATTTTTCCAACTCTGAGTTGGTTTAATAAAAGATATCATATTTTAACAGTTATGTGCATCCCATAGGGTTATTTCCCTCCTTGTAATAATTCTTCTCTGGACTTGCATAGAAATTAAAAATCTTCTCTCCATGCTGCTAAATGTTTATCTTTTTGCTTCTGCTCCAGATGAATTTTTCAATGCACTCGGCAATGGCCTAAACCTGACCAAGTGCGGGACAGCACCAACAGTAAATCTCCATTGACTACAGTGGGGAAGGGTCAGGGTATTGCTAAGTGGTTTTGAAACTCCCACTCACGGTACTTGAAACAAAATACTTCTTACATGTATTTTAGCATCTGACAAATTTTAGGTAGAATCTGGTGTTCCATAGACTAAAATACCCATGCCCATGTTGTAAGTCTAGGTGTGGCACTGCCCACAGGCACTCACCATTCACTGACTGGCAGTTGGTTTAAAATCTGCCAGAGGTCACTATGGTCAAGACTTAGCTTTGCTGATTTCCAAATACGCACTGAAAAACAGAACATAGAGCCACATAGCAGAACTGTACTAGAATGATTTGAGTGCCCCATGTTTGTGGTGGAGACGCAAAAAAAAAAAAAACGGATAGCTGAGTCTATTAAAAAATCTGAGGCAAGAATCTCTTAGGGTGATATCTTTTATTGAACCAATTATGTATTTGGAATAAAGTTGGACAATATTTAGAATGCCAGACATTCTTCTTATCTAACTTTATTCCAACTAAGTAGTTGATCTGATAAAAGATATCACCCTAAGAAATTCTTGCTCCTTTCATAATTTTTGAACCATCACAGATACAATAACACTATTATACTACCATAACATTAAAAAAAAATACCCTTCCTGTGTACTAGATGGATAAAACTGCTTCCCTTTGGTCTAGTGAACTGCTAAGAAAAATGTTTTTTTTAGGAAAACAATTCCTGAAAAACTGAAACAATGCAGAATAAAATGCAGCTCAATCTGCTGCCCTGTGAGAAAAATGCACAAGCATGTAGAAACACCTGTCAAATAGTTAAATAATTCATCTCAATGACTCAGTAACATAAATGGCATCACTGACTTCCATAGAACTGTGGCAATTTACAGCAGGTGAGAAACTGGTCCAAGAAGCAGCACCATGTAACATTTCTAAAACCCCTCCAAATACAGGTAGCTATGGGCTCAGCTGAGGATGCTATTTGGATGCAAAGAGTAGGTGGTACATAGACCTTTCTTGTGCTGATGGCCAGTTCTCTCTTGTAGACGTCATTTTATCAGGCTGAACAATTTCACAATTACTTGAACACTCACAAAGTTCTGTGAACAACTATTGGGGTAATGCCGATGCTTGAAGAAGCCTTTTTTCACAACGTGCATTGTATGAACACAGGCTACACAGTGATGTGATCTGTAGTATGTACATACTGAGGCAAGAAGGAATTTTGGAGTTCCTTGTTTAGATAACACTATGAAAGTCAAACAGTCCATGAACAAAACAAGAGGTTTCTGCAGCTGCTCAGTCTTCTCCGCCTCCGCTCCGAGTTGGAGGTAGCTTCTTGGCAGCACTGGACTTTCTTCAGCTGCACACTTCCCAAGATGCTAACATGAAAGCAGGTTTTTCTGGAGGGCTATGGAATGGCAAGCCACCAGGGCAGGGTTTGATATGGGCCCTGGACCAAAGCTACTAGGTTTTCCTTAGCTGAAAGGTTCCTTCAAGAGGGCAGTCAAAGAAAGGCATTAAGGGACTCAAAGGTTGAGCTATTCCAAGGGTTTCAAACTCGGGCCCCATGGGCTGGATAAGTGGCACAGGACCCATCCTCAGGCCAGACTGGGCCCACAGACCAGCTCTATGCACTGGATCCAGTGCATGAGGCCAGTTTGGCATGGGCGCTGTGTGCAGCATGCATTCCAGACCTGCCCCATGTGCAGCCAGGGACTAACCCTGCAGTGAGCATGCTAGACCCAATCCCCTGCAGTATGTGCCAGCCTCACCCCATGCACTGTCTGCAGTGTGTGCAGTAGGTCTAGCCCTGTATGTTGTGGGCAGTACATGCCAAACTGGCCCCATGCACTGCAGGTAGCATGCAGGTCCATTCCGAGATCCACAGATAGCCCTGCAGGCCAAGTGATAGGACTCTGTGGGCTGAATCTGGTCCACAGGCCACAATTTGACACTCCTGGGATACACAGTATCATAACTTCTCCAATGACAGAAATCTGTGAGCCCATACAAAGGGTTTTTCTGCTACCTATCCAAGAAGTTCAGCATTGTTGGTGGGACAAGGGCAGTTCCCAAACTGAGTTTTCACCTGGCACTATTTTCAGCCTGAACAATTAGGAGTTATGCCTGCAGTGAACAGGTTCCCTCATGAGGGCAAATGAAAAGATACTTTAAGGAAATCTTCTTGAGAAGAATGGCTGTAACTATCTAGAAGCATGGCTAGCATCTATTCTTCTTCTCACGGGGAAGACACAAGCTAATCTTGGAAAAGTTGGACAGGGTCCTGATCTGTGGATAGGCTTCTAGGGAACATTGTAATATACATAATAAATAATAATAATAAATCATAGAACAGTAGTGTTGGAAGGGACCACAGGAGGTCATCTAGTCCAACCCCCTGCTCAAAGCAGGACCGTCTCCAAGCACATCATCCCAGCCAAGGCTTTGTTTAGCTAGACCTTAAAAACCTTGAAGGATGGAGATTCCACCACCTCTCTGGGTAACCTATTCCAGTGTTTTACTACCCTCCTAGTGAGAAAGTTCTTCCTAATATCTAACTCCCTTGCTGCGACTTGAGACCAGTGGCTCCTTGTTCTGTTATCTGCCACCACTCGTGACAGGGGGCTGGCTTAAGGCCATGTCTCAACATCAGCCCACCGACCTGTCTCTGGGGCAGTCCACCCAGTCTCACCTGCCATGACTTGTTGTACAAATAAGTAGTGTAAAAATGCAGGAGGCTTCCCATTTAATGCCCCAACGCCTACGGCATTATACACGGCTCCAACCTCCCCTACAGTGTCCCATGTTTCGCAGATGGCATCCACTATGTGGCCTCAGCCCCACACTGAGCCCCAAAGTCTGGTATTTGGACCCCAACCTGGATCCCTCCTCTCAGGTAGTCTACTCTGCCTTCATTCTGAGCTGTCAAGCTCCCTGAACCCTTCCTCCCTCTCAGCAGTGGCCCACTGAATTTTTCTGACAGGAAAGGCCCAGAATGATATGGACTACCAAATAACTGATGGACTAATGCCCTTTTAATGAGCTTGCAGCCACCAAAAAAGGTCTAATTTTTTACCAAAATAATGATACTTTAAAATCTGTTTCACTGCCTTTATTTGAGGGAAGCACTTTTCAATAAGAATACTCTTTCTATTATGATCTACAAAAGTTCCTTCTTCATGATATTTTACACGTGGGATTTTTAAAACGATCACTATTTTAAACATTCACACTGTTTTTCTTTAGTTTCCAAATGTACCTTAGTGTGGAAGAGCTACATGTTTCTTAAATAATGAATGCAACTGCAAATAATCTGGCAAAGTTTACATCTACAATCCATCACATGAAAGGTACTTGTGAGACACCTCAGAGACTAAAAAAATAACTCTCTACCATACCCTCAACCAACCAAAACTGGAATGGAAAACCTGGAAAGGAAGTTTATTGACAGAACACAATGGGATTTCAAGCAACACTAAGGTATGTCAGACTGATATAAGAAAATGTGTTACGTAAAGCTTTTTTACAGCTGGTGACTATTAGTGTTAAAACAGCATTTAGTTTAGAATCAGAAATAAGTTCTGGAGATAAAAGGACTAAAGAATGACAACTATTAAGCAGTCAACGTATGCACTGACGATAAGAAGTCTGATGTACCATATACATATTAGACTAAGGGCACCATTTTCAAGTGTTCACATGTGATTTAGAAGATCATGTTCTATTTTCAAGAGTCTTAAACACATAGAAACCCAAGTCACAAAGGTGCTTTTGCAAATACACCTCACATAATCCTAATAACGAATCATTGTGTTTAAGTCTGTGGCTATGAGTGTCTATGGCTTTCTTGTGTTAAAAAAAAAAAAAAGACAGCACTGGGGATATTAAATACTACATTTCAGAGTATGAAAATGCAGAATATCAAGCCACTTTAAAATCCAATTTTAAAATCATAGCTTAGCGGCTGGTAAGAACAGTCACCTCCTTCAATTGTGTTCCAGTTTTCCTCATACACGGTATTATGAATAATCATAATAAGCATGATCATTTTTCCACAGTGGAGAAGGCTGCATAGTGGTTGGTATTAGATTGGCTTGCATAGTTTATTCATCAAGCTCACTTGTTAGGGAGAAAATACTAGGATGTCCTGATGAGCGAAGCCCTTTCGTCTTCAGTACCCTGGAAGACAAAAATGGCAGCAAAGCAAAGTTAACAGCAGGGCATTCGACGGTTTTCAAAGTCAAGGCCTGAAGGTCACAGAGGACTGGAGGAAGACAAATGTAATAGTTAAAAAAAAAAAAAAAAAAAAAAATCAATGCAGGAAAGAAGAGAGATCCTGGGATTTATCATCCAGTAGGCCCAACTTTCAGCCAACAAGCTGCAAGGGAACAAATACACTAAAAAGTACCAGAGCATAGCTTGTATGTGACCACTGCATAGACGTACAAGAAGAACGATTCCAGGAGCCTTCCTAGTATTGCTGATTTGATGTCAGGGCAGAACAGCTGCAGCTGCTGTATTACTTTTAGTATGCAATCCATCTCACAGCACAGCATGCCTCTTTCACCTCCCCATGGATGGCTGAGAAGAGGGCATGGTACGTTACTGTAGGGCAACAGGCATGCTCCTACTATGTGCCCTGGAAATGTCATAGGACTGACATCAGGGCTTACAAAACATCTCCTGTGATGACACTAGAAGAGGAGATGGGCAGCATATGAATGAGATTATTATCTACATGAGATGTTTACTGTATAGTTGACTACTTAACTGCACAGTAAACGTCTCAGCGTCTACACATGCAGCCCTATTAGGATACAGAAAGCTACAGTAATAAACTCAACAGCTATGGCTGTATTACTTTTGTGGTCCTCTCTGATCACGCTGTTTGCAGGAAACAGAAAGCTGATACAGAGAAAACAGGACATTCAAGTGTTCCATTGTCCTTTCATTTCCTGCAACTGTGCTGAAGAACTTGGAGAGATGGATGTATCTGATGTTGCTGGATTAAGGATGAGAGGTCAGCTGGGTTGGCCAGAACCAAGGGGTCTGCTTTGAGCTCTAAGGCTGAGCCTGCCAGTCAGGCAGGGAAGGAAAGAAGAAACAAAGAAGGTGAAGCAAAAAAGAACCAGACCCTCCCATAAAGGAGGCAGGGCCTCAGTCATTAAGCATTCCCTGGTGGAAAGCTATCCAAGGGCTCCTGCTCAGCCATGCAAGAATGAAACCAAAGGTTTCAAATGGGGGTGGCCACCATTTGAAGGGAATCTGCCAGGCTGCAGAAAGATAATGTGTCTCTCCCTTAGCATTTTGCCACAATAATCTCATCACCACCACCCCTGAGGTAAGATCAGGATCACCAAATCCTTGCAAGCTGAGAAACGGCACATACAATGTTTGTCTGAGAATGCTGGCTGTTTTTTCCTGTAATGAAAGAACCTGCTTAGAATATGGAATACAAGCCAACATCATCCTTGAACCACAGCAGATAGAGGCCTCAAAGCTTCCTAGATTGCTCCGTCTGTGTCTCTGTTCAGGCAGTCCATCCAGAGAACACCACTGTCCCAGGAGGGTAAAAGTTTGGCTCTGAACTACTCAAAGCACTGACAACCTTAATACCAACATGCTCATTTGTAACACTACACACCAGGAATATACATATGGAACAGTGTTAATCGTATATATTTTTGTACAGTACTGAACTGTACAACTGATATGTTTTTATTTAAATTATAACGTAAAATGATAGCAGAAGTTTGGAGGATTAATCCACTGGAGCTGCTGAGGGTGTAAAGTTATAATTGCAAGGTTAACACCATTTCACTTCTCTAATGTGGGCCTTGAATGGGACAATACAGCTGAATGAGCCCAAGTTACAAGGAAGGGTTTAGAACTGGAATTTGCCTAACATTTGTGTGTGCGTGCAGAATTGGGGCTTGGTTTAGATTCACCTCTGGCAGGCACTGCCAGATCTGGATTTAACTGATTTTGGAGGAACTTTGAGCAGAGTTTCACAAGAAAATTGGGTGGGGGGAAGACACGACAAAACAATATCACACTTCTCTCTCAAGATGGCACTGTCAAAATGTCAGTTAAATATGGGTAGGTTTTTTTGGATCTTACCCTTCAGAGTTCACTAGACTGACTTGTTTTTATGACTAGCTAGCAAAAGAATTAGGCATAAAAATAAAATCACCCAGCTTATGTATCTTAAATTAACTGTATAGCTTTGTTGGTTGCACTTACTTAGGGTTTATTAGAACTTCTCTGCCCTGGAGAGAGCATTTTAAACAGAAAGAAAAAGTTATGAGACCCCAACAGGTAAAACAACAACAGTCTATAAAAAGACAGAAAGACAGGAAAAAAAGAGGAGTGAAATTCAGCTACTACTAACCTCATCCTTTGTTCCACGGGACCGGCACGCAAGCACAATGAAAATGATCCCAAAAATA